TACTGCTTGGCATTCGCGTCGGGAGCTCCGATGCGAACATTTCAGTGTATCTCGGTGTCTTATCTGAGGAGATTGCAGAGGATTCGGAAAGAGTTGAATGGTGATTACGAAGGCACGATAGCTCGGAAAACTCACACAGATCGTTCTCATCAGGAAAGAACACCTGAATTTGTTGGCAAGCGCCTCAGACTCAATATCAACGCCTTGTAGATGGAGTGCTGTCCTGGGTAAAGAGGGTGGTTATTGGTAGCACCAATACGATCATTTCAAAGTATTTGTGCGTCAATCTGAAGACAGTTCACAGGATTTAGATGAGTCTAATGGTGATTACGAAGGTGTTTGGAATTACCACTAATGCAAAGTTAGCTTCCGTTCTCTCTCTCTCTCACGGGCCATAGGACTCAACACGGATGCCTACTTCATTTGCCTCGAGGAAGTAGTTCTGTCTTGGCTCAAGAGGATGGCTACTGGAGTACCTTATGTCTGGCTATAGGACTCTGATCCATACCAGAAAAGAAGGTGTTTGGAATTATCACTAGTGATGCGACGTTAGACTCCGTTCACTCTCCAACAGACCATAGGACTCAACACGGATGCCTACTTCATTTGCCTTGAGGAAGGATTTCTGTCTTGGCTCAAGAGGGTGGCTACTGGAGTACCTTATGTCTGGCTATAGGACTCTGCTCCATACCAGAAAAGAAGGTGTTTGGAATTATCACTAGTGATGCGACGTTAGACTCCGTCCACTCTCCAACAGACCATAGGACTCAACACGGATGCCTACTTCATTTGCTTTGAGGGGCTAGTGTTGTCTTGGCTCAAGAGGGTGGCTACGGGAATACCTTATGTCTGGCTATAGAACTTTGCTCCATACCACAAAGGCAGGAAAAGTCAATCATGGCGGTCAAACAATTCTGCAACCACATCACCCCTTATATCTGGCCACCTAATTGCAACTCCCTTGATTATTATGTGTGGGGGCTATTGAGCGAGAGACCAACAGAACTCCTTGTAATAGAAAAGATTAACTGAGGATAAGGATTATGATAGCATTCATTAAATTAAACAGGGAAACCGTCCAGAACAGTTGCAAGAATATTGCGAAGACGCCAATGACGATTGTATTAAATCAATTTGCTCTTTAGAATTTCAAGATATTTTTGTGAAATTTTGGAAAATATACCCGTAACAATGAGATACCGGTGTTATTTTAGTTTGGTTTACTCTGTTTTGTTTTACGGCACATCAACATCAATGGGTCATGCAGACAAGAGTTTTATTAGTGGATTTTTTTTTCAAATATGTATTGATGGTAATAATGGTAATATTTTTTCTTCAAAAATATATTGCTGGCAATAATTTTTACAAAGAATTTCTGGTATTTTTACACTTTCATAGTGTTTTAACTCCAGTTTGCGGTTAACTATTTGCCTATAGCTGTGACTCTATCAGTTGCTACCACCGAGGGTCAGGGCGGACCTGGGAACACCAGCAATTAAGAGGTGGTAGCACGCTTCCTCAAAACCTCCTGATCAGAGGCATTGCTGTCGGATGTAGTTTATCGTCTTACCCAGGACAGCCGGTATTATTTTCATTTTGCCTTTATTTAGACGACAATTTATCCATCGCATCCTATATTTCTAAAATAATGAAGTGAAAGAACAATAAAAGAATAGTCTTCAAGGAGACAGATCATGGCGATTGGCGTTGCATTTTTTTTAAGATTGTGCGGACAAGCAATAAGTCAGAAAAGAGTTCCACAAGTGAGGATTGCGAGAAAGGAAACTAGGATCATAAAAAAGGTATGGTTCCTTCTTGCTAGGATCTGTCTGTATTTCTGTTCATATTATTCGGACTATTTTCTTCATCATTGTTGCCATATTTATCACAACGTTTCGGCTGTTGTACGCACCGGCCTTCTTCAGCTAGTTGGAAAACTTAGCTCTCTCGCTGGTGTAGACTCTCCTAGTTCCACGTGACATGTCTAATGGATATCAGTTATCAGTTATCTCCAGTTAATTCACCTCTTCAAGTTCTCCACTACCTTATCCGGGTATTGAACGCACAACTCTTTTGAGTCCTGTCACTGGATCTAAGCAACACCTTTTATCCACTGTGTCATGTGTCCTAGCGAGCGAATTAAAGAATCAGTAATTCTTACTACAAATTGTGTCAAGATGGCTAAACATCTTAACTGAAAATCGGGTATAAAGAAACAATTATTTTAGTGGGGTGTTTTGGTTTTTTTTTTTTATAGATATTAAACAATGTATGGGATGGACAATTAATCTTTAAGACGATTTGGACATTTTTGCTGTTACACCCAGTATACCACGAGATTCACAGCAAAATCGAAAGAATGGTCTGTAATATTATCGGTCCTAACCTGGCATCTTGACTTCAGTTACTTACACATCGCTGTTGCTTTTCCGCTTGTCTTTGTATCTTAGCCATGGACGTCCTACATTCCTGTAGCCCTGATCTAACTGGCTGTACATTAGGATCTTGGGTATCCTGTTATCAGACATTCTCAAGACATGACCAGTCCACCGTAAATGAGACTGTATGATAAAAGTCTCGATTCCTCCAATATTACACCTGTTAAAATATATATATACATCTTATATATATATATATATATATATATATATATATATATATATATATATATATATATATATTATGTCAACCACTGCCTCCAGACGTCTTCAGAATGTCCTTCAGCTATTCTGGATGGTTTCCTTATTATGCTGCCATAATCTTTGCCTTCAAGTCATATTTGGTGCTACAAGGAATTTTGTTATTCGTTCGCGCAAATTCGGCCCACGCATAATAATCGAGGGTGTTCCAAGTCTGTGAAGTCAGGTGGCCAGTTATAAGGGATGATGTGGTCGCAGAAATTGACAGCCATGATTGGATTCTACGGCTTATGTGGCATGGTGCAGAGTCCTATTGCCAGACAGATATTCTTCGAACAGCCACCCTCTTGATCCAGGGTATAACTACTTGCTCAAGGCACTTGATGTGGACACTTGTTGTTGATTCGATATAAGTATATTTCCGAATTTTCTGCGCTGTCCTCACATTGAAACCGCAGTACCCCCAAAAGTTCGTATTGGAGTTTCCGGCACAAATGCCAAGCAATACCTTATGCCGTTTCCAAACGTCCGGCGGAGGAAAGTGCGGCGCCATGGGACTCATTTTCTCATAAACGGCGTCCGACAAGATCAAAAATAAACAACATGCATGCGCGAAATTAAAAATATAAATCATACAGCCTCTTTCTCATACGCAAATTATATATATATATATATATATATATATATATATATATATATATATATATACGTATTCAGATATATTATATATATATATATATATATATATATATATATATATATATATATATATATGCGCACACAGACGCACAGGCACTCCGACTACATTCAAGCACATCTGTTACATTAGGCAAAATATATATATATATATATATATATATATATATATATATATATATATATATATGTATGTATACGTATTCAGATATATTCATAAGTCGGTATTGTTATGATTGTCTATGTATATATATATATAAATATATATATATATATATACGCACACAGATGCTTAGACATTCACTAACATTCACAAACACAGGCACAAACACATACACACACACACATATATATATATATATATATATATATATATATATATATATATATATATATATATATATATATATATATATAAATACGCACGCAGACGCATAGACACTCAATCACATGCACAAACACGCCCACACACACTCACAGACACACAAACAAACACACACACACACACACACACACATATATATATATATATATATATATATATATATATATATATATATGATTCTTATAAGCGCATTTCTTTAACTATTTATTTGTTTGCCTTCTAACTCGTTAGTTAGCGTTTGTCGATTTTTCTCCATTTTCCTATCCATTTAGCTTTTACATCTGATTTATTTTTACTTCATATTTTGATCTTGTTTCTAGAATTTTCTTTTTTTTTATTTTTTTTTTCTTCCTCTTTTCCTTTCTCTCTCCTTCCCGGCTACTGCCATTTTTTTTTCTCTTCTCGTATTTGTTGTCTTTCTTTATTCTCCAAAATTCTCTCTCAAGACAAGTTTCGATTACAGACCCCCGACGGCAGTTTTCCTTCTACGATGTTAGCAAATTAAATCTTGTATCTGGTTGAATTTTTTTAATCAGTCTCCCCGCTTTCTAAGGTGTAAGGTCCGTTCGTGTTCGGGTTTCGTTTTTTTCTAGTTATTTCGTTTTATTTATCAATTTCGCTTTTTTGTACTTTTCCCAATTACCTTCATCGACTCATCCACGCTCTCTCTTTCTCTCTCTCTCTCTCTCTCTCTCTCTCTCTCTCTCTATATATATATATATATATATATATATATATATATATATATATATATATATACTAAACATCTTCTCGAATTCTAGTTTTTTCTAACTATTTCTCTTCCAGCTTATGTCTTTTTTCATTCTTCTGTAAAATTTCATTCATCTTTCAACATTTTATGCTTGTCTTTGCTTTCCTTGATCCAATTTAGCGCAATTTCTTCTAACAAAAAACAAAATAAACAGCTTTTCAGAGAACGGAAAGAAAGAAAGAAAGAAAGAAAGAAAGAAAGAAAGAAAGAAAGAAAGAAAGAAAGAAAGAAAGAACTATAATAAAAAACGGGAAGAGGGATGGAAAGAAGAAAGAAATTAAATACAAATACAAAAGGAAAAGAAGATATAAGAAAGAAAGAAAGAAAGAAAGAAAGAAAGAAAGTAAAGCATTAATGTGTAATCGGGAAAATAAAACTCGAATGTTTGAAAATTGAGCGAATGAGAAAACAATGAATGAAGAAAACAAAAGGAAAGAAAGAGCCAGCAAGAAAGAAACATTAATGAATGAATGAATTAAAAACAAAGAAGAACAATGGAATAAGTATTTTATGAATGAAAGAAAAAAGAAAACAAGAAAAAAGAAAGAAAACAAAATGAAAGAAAGACGCAGAAAAAGGAGAGATATGAATTAAAAAGAAAGAATAAAAATGGAACAAGAATTTTTCGAAAGAATAGAAAAAGGTAGAATACAATAAGGAAGAAAGAAAGAAGCATAAAAAGGAAGGTATGAATAAAAAGGTACGTATAAATATGGAATAGCAATTTTAGGAAATAAATAAAGAAAGAAAGAAAAAAGAAAGAAAGAAAAAAACCAAAAAGAAAGAAACAATAAATATTATTTATCGGATATAAAATGGAATTTTGTGGGTGAATAAAAGTAAAATTTAGCGAAACACAGAAAGCAAGAAACAAATAAACAAACACAAAAACAAGGAAGAAATTATAATGAACGGATATGAAAAGAGAAGATGGACGAAGAAAGAAAAATACGCATGACTGAGTAGATATGAGTCGGATGAATAAAGGTAGAACGAAGAAAAATTGAATGAATTACACAAACGAAGAAAATAAGAAAAAGAAAGAAAGAAAGAAAAATAAAAGAAGCGTTTACGGATAGATATGAATTAAAAAGAAAGAATAAAAATGGAGTAACACTTTTACGCAAAGAATGAATCAATGAAAGATGTTAACAGGCAGACATGATATAAAAAATAAAGATAAAAATCGAATAATAATGAAAACCAAGAAAGAAAGAAAGAAAGAATAAGAAAAAAAGGATGAAAAAAGAAAGAAAGGGAGAAAGAAAGAAGAAAAATGAAAGAGAGAAGTAAAGAAAAATGCAAAGAAGGAAGGAAAGAAACAAAGAAACAGGGAGAGAGAGAGAGAGGGAGAGAGAGAGAGAGAGAAAGAATGTGAATTAATGAAAGACAAATTTGAGACTTACAAAAAACCATGGGAGAGAATGAATGAAAGAAAGAAAGAAAGAAAGAAGAAAGAAAGAAAGAAAGAAAGAAAGAAAGAAAAAAAGAAAGAAAAAAGAATGAAAGAAGATATTATGAGAAGTGGAATGAAAAACGTGAAATAAAGAAAGAAAAAAGAAAGAAGGAGAATTCAACATTAGGAAAAGTGGAAGGGAAAACGTGAAAGAAAGAAAGAAAGAAAGAAAGAAAGAAAGAAAAAGAAAGAGAGAGAGAGAAAAATGAAGGATAGAAATATCAAATTAAATAATAAAAATGTAAAGAAAATATTAGTTACGAAATGAATTTTGGAAGATAGAAAGTATAAGAAAGGGAGAAAGACAAAAGAACGAAAAAAGACAAAAAAGGAATAGATTGTAGAAAGAAAGAAAGAAAGAAAGAATGAAAAAAGAAAGAAAGAAAGAAAGAAAGAAAGAAAGAATGAAAGAAAGAAAAAAGAAAAAAGAAAGAAAGAAAGAAAGAAAGAAAGAAAGAAAGAAAGAAAGAAAGAAAGAAAGAATATTATGTGAAGTGGAGGGGGAAAACATGAAAGAGTTAAATAAAGAAAGAGAATTCAACATTATGAAAATTGAAAGGAAAACGTGAAAGAAAGAAAGAAAGAAAGAAAGAAAGAAAGAAAGAAAGAAAGAAAGAAAGAAAAAGACGAAAATGAAATAGCTCGGAGAGATTGTAAGAAAGAAAGAAAGAAAGAAAGAAAGAAAGAAAGAAAGAAAGAAAGAAAGAAAAAAGACGAAATGAAAATAGCTCTGGAGAGATTGTAAGAAAGAAGAAAGAAAGAAAGAAAGAAAGAAAGAAAAGAAAAGAAAGAAAAGAAAAATGAAATCGCTAAGAGAGAGAAAAAGAAAGAAAGAAAGAAAGAAAGAAAGAAAGAAAGAAAGAAAGAAAGAAAGAAAGAAAGAATAAAAAAGAAAAAAGTATAGAAATATCAAAATAAGGAATAAAATGGTGATGAAGATATTAGTTATAATAGAAATTGGCGAAGAGACTTTTACCCTGAAAGAAAGGAAGATAAAACAAAGAAAGACAGAGAGTGAAAGAGAGAGAGAGAGAGAAAGAAGAGAGAAAGGAAGATACAAGTAAAAAGAAAGAAAGAGAGAATGAACGAAAACAGAAAAAAGAAGAAATCAAGGAAAAATTGGAAGAAGAAAAAGAAAGAAGAAAAAGGAAATAAAAAGAAGAAAAATGAAAGCGAGAAAGAAAGAAAGGAAAGAAAGAAACAAAGAAACACAGAGAGAGAGAGAGAGAGAGATTGAAAGACAATGTGAGAAATTAACCGAGAAGAAAAAGAAAAAACAGAATGAATAAAAGAAAGAAAGAAAGAAAGAAAGAAAGAAAGAAAGAAAGTGATAAAGAAATCTATGACAAGTCAAGTTTCAAGCCAACGAGAGAAACAGAAGAAAGGGGGCGAAATTAATTAATAATTAATTGCGCGAGAAGCAATCAAAATAAACGAAATTAATACAAAACACGGAAGAACGAAAGAAAGAAAAAAAATAGGAAAATTAAAAGAATGGTAAAAGGGCCCAAGAATTAAGACTTGTGAATAAAAAGAAAACAAGGAATAAAACAAGAATTTTAAAAATAAATAATGACTAAAGTAAATAAAAACTAAAAAAAAAACAAAAAATAATACCTACTGTAAAGAACTTACACATTTCGAAGAGAGAGGCATCGAAGCAAATAAATTAACAGAAAAATTCCCTAAAAATAAAACAATTACGTAGGGATGAAACGAAAAGAAATTATTGGTTTGGGCATCCGTAGAAGGAAAGCGGGGGCAATATGTCAGATTGATGATTGGAAAGAAAAGAAGTAAAAATGGCGGGAAAAAAATAAAAAGGTGGGAGAATGGCGACATCTTGTCTTTTTTGGGGGGTGGTGCTGCAGGTATTATTTTCGCGTTTTGCTTTGAGCCTTCGACCAGATAGCAAATGGAAGGATCGTGGAGGAGGGTGGTGCATGATCAACACTTCTAGAAAAGAAATTTTTTTTTAATAGTTCTTTCTTTTGTTTTGTTGCTGTTGATTGTTTTTTTTTTTGTTTTTTTTTTTAAGACTAACATTTCATGACAAGAAAATAAAGACCTGGAATCCATGAATATAAAAAAGAAAAAAACTAGGAATTCTAAGAACATAAGAAAATCGACATAGATAAAGAGAAATCGTGTTTGTTAAAAAATAAATTAACTCCAGAAGGATGATCAACTTCCATCATCTGTACATGGAATCGTACATCAACAAGTATATATATATATATATATATATATATATATATATATATAAATATATATATATATATAAAGAGAAAGACAGAAGAGAGAAGAATGGAGAGAATGAGAGTGAGAAAAGGCCTTCGTTTTAATACAAGTTTGATTAAAAGCTACCGACAACGAATATTTTGAATTTCCTTATTTAAGTTTCTATTTCCGTAGAAATGACAAGAAATGACCGTTACCTTTTACACCACCCGCACATATGCAAGCATACAATACCTGGTATTTCCAAGCGGTTACTCATCTATGTACAGACCAGCCTCGACGTTGCTTAACTTTCGTGATCATACGAGAACCAGTGTTTTAATGAATTTGTTCGTAAACCAGTGAATATTAATTATATCAAAGTAAACTGGTGCGCTGAAAATGTGTTTTTTTTTTAATAATAGCAGAAATGTTGGTGACACATATGAAATTCCGTACATGTGGCATCTAATGGAGATTCAAGCGTTTCATGGAGCAAGTGTGTATATTATCCGCTACGTGGGGAATATCTTGATGTACTAAGGCATCGTGGAAATGCGTTACATGTTGAGTAATCTGCTACATGTGACGCTTTTAGACGTTCAAACGTCTTAAGTAATGCACCACATGTAACTTATTTATATGATCTAAGTTCTTACATAAGACACCAAAAATCAATGAAATTTGGCATTTTTGTTGCAACATGTGAATTATGTGTGGTGTATCATGAGGCACCTGTTGATTGTTCAAGCTCTTAAAGAATGCTCAAGATGTGGTATTTTTATTGCTACATGTGGTTAATTTCGATCTCTCAGGTAATATGCTACATCTAGCGTCTTTCGGGGAACCAAATATTTACGTAACATGCTACATACGACATCTTTACATGCCCCAAACATTTGTGCAATGTGCTACATGTGAAATCCTTCGATAGTTCATGGACTTCTGCAATATGTTAAATGTGACATATTTCTATGGTTCAAGGACTTCTGCAATGTTCTACATGTGACATCTTTTGATGATTCAAGAGCTTCTGCAATGCGATACATGTGACATACTTCGATGGTTCAAAGAATTCTGCAGTGTGCTACATGTGACACATCTTTCGACGGTCGTAAACTTTGTGCAATGTACTACATGTGACTTATTTCGATGATTCGAGGACTTCTGCAATGCACTACATATGGCATACTTAGACGGTTCAAAGAATTTTGCAATGTGCTACATGTGGCATCTTTCGATGGTTCAAAGAATTCTGCAGTGTGCCACATGTGACACATCTTTCAACAGTCGTAAACTTTGTGTAATGTACTACATGTGACTTCTTTCAATGGTTCGACTTCTGCCATGTACTACATGTGACATATTTTGATGGTTCAAAGAATTCTGCAGTGTTCTACATGTGACTTCTTTCGATGGACCAAGCCCTTTGGCAACACGATTCATGTGACCCCTTTCCATTGTATAAGCTCTTGTGCAATGTTATACATGCGACATCATTTGATGGTCCTGTGTCTTGCAGAATACACAGCTTGTGACATCGCAATACATTTGAGAGCTAGTCGACGAATTCTTCTCATACAATGCATCATAAAAAAAATCTAATTGGAACAGTTCAACGGAACTTACTTACGATCAGATCAAAATGAAATATCTGGAAAAAGTAATGACCAACGAGGGTTTGACGACACTAACACTCCCGTGACATATTGGAGGCAAGGAAAAACAGGGGTCAACATCGATTAGACAACCTGACAATATTGAGTAAATGGATAGCCGACTATAAGCAAGGAGGGAGGGTCGGAAGCTGAGGGTGGCAATGAATAACGATAATGCAATAGCGTGTGGTATATAAAATAAGAATAAAAACTAATGCTCGTCAAACTATCAGATTCTGTTTCACTTCTCGAATTCCGCAAGCAGCTTCGGTGTCATGAAAGCCCAAGTTAAAAATAATGTCACAACTTTCCTTGTATCCGCCATATTTTTTAATAGACTCGTTGACACCTTGGATGTTTTTATTTTATTTTTTTTATTTTTTATTTTTTTGACCGAAACCCATAACACTTGGGAGAATGTTCTCACGTCTTGGGATTTATGGAAAAACAAAGTAACGGTCGATATGACATCACCATGTTGCTTCTAAATTCTTCTGGTTCTAAAGAAGAAAAGCAGCAAAATATTTTTTTTTTCAAATGATTGGAATGCAAACAGGAAATTGTGGAAATTACGTTTAATCGAAAACTATATGCATTTAAAAGTCCGTCTATTAGTCATGATTTGATTCTATGGCAGGAAATTATGATCTGTGTTAAATGGATGGGAACAAACTGTGATAGCTAGCTAGATAGCTAACTAGATAGATAGATAGATAGATAGATAGATAGATAGATAGATAGATAGATAGATAGATATGAATAGGTGAAGATAGATTCATAGACAGATATATTAATATTTATGAATAGCTGAAGATATATGTGAAATGGTGAAGATAGATAGATATGAATATGTGAACAGAGATAGATAGATATGAATCTGTTAACATAGATAAATAGATAGAGATGAATATGTGAACATAGATAGATAGATAGATAGATAGATAGATAGATAGATAGATAGATATGAATATGTGAACATAGATATGAATATGTGAATATAGATAGATAGATAGATAGATAGATATGAATATGTGAACATAGATATGAATATGTGAATATAGATAGATAGATAGATAGATAGATATGAATATGTGAACATAGATATGAATATGTGGATGGATAGATGGATAGATAGATAGATAGATAGATATGGGGACATAGATGTGAATATGAAGATAGATAGATAGATGGATAGATGGATAGATAGATAGATGGATGGATAGATAGATGTGGATATGTCAGCATGGATGGATAGATATGAATATGTGAATATAGATAGATGGGGAATATATGAACATGGATAGATAGATAGATAGATGGATGGATAGATAGATAGATAGATATGTGAACATAGATAGATAGATATGAATCTGTAAACATAGAGATGAATATATGAACATAGATAGATATGAATCTGTAAACATAGATAAATAGATAGAGATGAATATATGAAGATAGATAGATAGATATTAATAGTCTTAGATAGATAGATAGATAGATAGATAGATAGATAAATATGAATATGTGAACATAGATATGAATATGTGAGAAGATAGATAGATAGATAGATAGATAGATAGATAGATAGATATGAATATGTGAACATAGATATGAATATGTGAATATAGATAGATAGGAATATATGAACATAGATAGCTAGATTGCTAGATAGATATGAATATGTGAACATAGATAGATATGAATTTGTGAAGATAGATAGATAGATAGATAGATAGATAGATAGATAGATAGATAGATACGAATATGTGAAGATAGATACGAATATGTGAATATAGATACATAGGAATATATGAACATAGATAGATAGATAGATAGATAGATAGATAGATAGATAGATAGATAGATAGATGTGAAGATAGATAGATAGATAGATAGATAGATAGATAGATATGAATAGAAGAATACAGATATATGAGAACTGGCTTAAATAGATGGACATATACAGTGCCACGTAAACGTTTACAGTATATTACAAAAAAAAGTTCCTTTTGGTATTTCCAAACTCTGTTAGAAATACCTAAAGAAACATTTATAGCAGTAAAATTTTCATTAATCAGTTAACTTAATTAAACTTATACTGCTAATAATACATATGTTTAATCCTTTAGTTAAACAATCAGATTTTAAAAAAACAAAAAATACAATAAAAATGTCTTCCGAAAAAAAACAATATTTTCTGTTTCATCCCTCTCCATAAATTTTCAATCGGATTGAGATCTGGAGAATGACTTGACCATTTTGAAACGTCTATTTGAACTTAATTTTGTAAGATTAGCTGTATGTCTAAACATCGCTGTCTTGCTGAATGACCCAACCTGGTTTTATCCCAGTGAATGTACGCTCTGACGTAAATTTCTTTCTATAGCCGAAAACTTTGTGAAATGTACTACATGTGACTTCTTTCGATGGTTCAAGGACTTCTGCAGTTTGCTACATGTGACATACTTCGATGGTTCAAAGAATTACGCAATGTACCACATGTGACATCTTTCGATAGCCGAAAACTTTGTGCAATGTACTACATGTGACTTCTTTCGATTGTTCAAGGACTTCTGCAGTGTGCTACATGTGACATACTTCGATGGTTCAATGAATTCTGCAATGTGATACTTGAGACATCTTTTGATAGTCGAAAACTTTGTGCAATGTACTACATGTGACTTCTTTCGATGGTTCAAGGACTTCTGCAATGTGCTACATGTGACATACTTCGATGGTTCAAAGAATTATGCAAATGACATGTACTACATGTTTCAAAATAATATATATATATATATATATATATATATATATATATATATATATATATATATATATATGCTCCATTGATCCACCTTCTATTATGTCAATGTTCCCTAAACCTTCAGCACTAAATCCACCTCCAAATTTTAATGTTGGGATAGTATTCTTCGTCGAATATTCAGAACTCGTCTTTTTTTCAGACCTTTGCCGAACCAATTCTGCCAAAAATTTAAATTTTCGTTTCGTCTGACCAACATACATTTTCCCCAAAATGCTGCAGGTTTGTTACAATCCTCGTTTGCAAAATCCAGTCCAGCAAGAACGTGTTTTCGATTAAGAAGTGTTTGGGATTTTTTTTTCTACTTGGAGTCATCGAAATGATGTTATATCGACGAAGTGAACGATTAATTGTATCCATACTTGCTTTTACTCTACTTTGTCTTGTCTTCCTTGAAGTTCTTTAAGCGTAACTCGGGGATCGTTGCCAACTTTACTCGCCAATAATCTTACCATACGTTCCGTTACATTTCTAGAACGATCAGAGCTTTTTCTTTGGTGGGGGTGGGTGCTGAATGAAATGACACATTTTCTAGTGACGTATTATCGTACCAACTGAAGTAAATGGCACATTTAACTGATTATATATCTTCATATAACCAAGTCCATTTTTATGAAGGTCAACAATACATTTACGGAGATCTTGATCAATTATTTCGATTTTACCCATTTTGTTAATGTTTAAAGGATGGTTGACAGAAAAAAGAATGGCACAATACTTTTAATCGTAGCGAAAAGTAATCATAAAATTAATTTGGAACAACCCCAACCTAATTAGGAACATTCTAGTAAAATTGGAAAAAAAAAAACACTGTTGTAAATAAAAAAAAAATGTGTTTAAACTTTTGAGTTACCAAATATCGGTTTTTCTTCGCGGGATACTTTTTTTTGAATTTTTAAAAAAATCTGATTGTTTGACTGAATACCTAAAGAATTGTTTTACGATGGATAAAAGTTTAATTAATGTAACTGTATTAGAAATGCCTAAAAACATTTTTTGTAATGTGTTGTAAACTTTTGGGTCGCATTTAGATGATAGATAGATAATAGATTAGAGATAGATAGATAGATAGATAGATATGAAAAAGATGAACATAGATAGATGGATAGATAGATAGATAGAAACAGCAACTGTGATAGATAGATAGATAGATAGATAGATAGATAGATGAAATGAAACAGTCTGTGTTAGATAGATAGATAGATAGATAGATAGATAGATAGATAGATAGATAGATAGATAGATATGAAAAGATGAACATAGATAGATGGATAGATAGATAGATATGAACAGTCTGTGTTAGATAGATAGATAGATAGATAGATAGATAGATAGATAGATAGATATAAACAAGTAGGAATAGATAGATAGATAGATAAACAATTAGAGATAGATAGATAGATAGATAGATAGATAGATAGATAGATAGATAGATATGAAAAGATGAACATAGACAGATGGATAGATAGATAGATATGAACAGTCTGTGTTAGATAGATAGATAGATAGATAGATAGATAGATAGATAGATAGATAGATATGAACAGTCTGTGTTAGATAGATAGATAGATAGATAGATAGATAGATAGATAGATAGATAGATAGATAGATAGATAGATAGATACGAACAGGTTGAGGTACCTCAGGGTGGTGTAATGGTTAGCAAGCTTGTCTCGCTAGAATAATTACGACTGAGTAGTGAGTTCGATAGAAAACTGAGTGCCCCATGCTTTCGGCCTTGTGCCACATCTGAGCCTCGCTTGGAAAATCACTACATACGAACAGGTTTAGGAAGATAGATATGAATAAATTATCGTAGATATGAACAGAGTAGGAGATATATATATATATATGTATCTTTGTATCTATTTAATTTGTCTATATATATATATATCAGTCTTTTCATATTTATGCATCTATCACGGTCTTTATGAGTGTCTTCATAGCTATATGTGTTATTTTAGAAAAAAATGAATTATTTTAAATTGAGAGTTATGAACAGATAGATAGATAGATGAAAAATACATTCTGCTAAAAGTGTGCATTTTTAAACTAGCCTGACTGCAAGTATTCAAATGTGCAGATAACTATAGCATTAATAAATAATAAAAAAAAAGAAATCCCAGCTAATTTAATCAGAATTAGAGGGGAGAGAAAAGATATTGTAAACAGGAGTAAATGTCGAGTAAGCCGCGTAAGTTGAAGACTGAACAAGCTGTCAAACAAGGAGAGCAATCTAAATATACAGTCGTCATCGTGCCATGCAAAATATCGCATCGACCCGCACACACCGACATGGATCGTGTCAGGAATGGGCGGCGAGATGGAAGCAAAACGAGGGGAAAACGGCGAAATTGAAAATCATTTCACTCCGCGCCTCAGTTTGCGTGCGAAAGGAAAAAGGAACGTGTAAATAAATTAACACATCTTTGACACGTGTAAGAAATCGTATGGAGTCATTCGTACAGGCATTACTCTCCACCGGGGATATATTTTAGTTTAGAATAACAGAACCTGTTTTCAGGATAGTGGAACAAAAAAAAAAAAAAAATGAAAAAAATGATAAAAAAAAGTATAGAAATATATAAAAAAAAAATTAAAAAATCGAAAAAGAAAAAACATTAAAAAGAAACCAATTTTCCTCAGTCGAAAAACGATTGTCTTATGAAGACTTTTATGAAGTTGAATTATTTCTCTTTCGACGATTCTAGAACTGCAAATTTTCTTTATGTCAGATCACCAATGCACTTTTCATCTAAAAGAAACACAAACACACACACACTATCTGCAGAAATGAATTTTATATCTATTTATTGGTGTTTCATAATTTTAAAAATATTAAAAAACTATACATATATATATATATATATATATATATATATATATATATATATATTGTGCCTCGATATAATGTAATGGTTAGAAAGATAGAAATCTTCTAGATCAATTACGACTTTTATGAATTTGATCCTCACTAAGTGCCCAATACTTTCGGATTTGTGCCACATCTAATCCATTCTTAGAAAATATATATATATATATATATATATATATATATATATGATATATATATATATATAGTATGTTATCATTTTTAGGCTGATTTCATATATTATACTTTCAATATATTTTCTGTTTATTGGTTTTTTTATATATACAAACATTTAGATACATGTTTTATTAATAATAAACATATAAAAATAAATAAATTATATATATATATATATATATATATATGTATATAAATAAAAAGAAAGAACAGTAAGATATAAAATCCGGTGTTCTTATAGATATTTTATTTTTTACAAAATAGTGCTCAATGTAAATTTACAGAGCATTAATATTATAAATTAATTGATTTAAAATAGAGTTTTTTTTTGCTACACAGTTCCATAAACCATGTTTCAAAAATAGAAGCTAAAAAAAAATGTAACCTCATATACATACTTAAACTTAATGTTAAAATAATCCTATATAATATAATGGATTCTAATACATTTAACTGTTCTTAAAAAGAATATAGTAAAATAAAAATTAAAAAGGAAAATATTTCAAATCGTTTTAAATAAAAAAGTATTGTAAAAAAAAATCTTTAATTTTAAAAAGATGACGTTGAAAATTTTTTACCGTTAACAATTTTTTTTTTTTTTTTAAAAAATTCAGACGACATCCATTCAAATGACGTCAGGTTTCAGTGTAAAAATACATCCTCACCTATTACCAAAATGTAGCTAATAACTGATACAATGATACTGTCATAAGGAAAATCTAGATTGTTTGTTCAATTTGAGTAGAATATTCTGTAACCATGGAAACGTGATTTTAGCTGTGTATTTAAAAGCGTGTAAATTTTAAAAGTTACTCCAAAATTCGCTTGAAGATGAAATGGAACTAATGCTTTTAATTTATTTGCAAAAAAATAAAATTAGGGGTTTTTAGCTTCTATTTTTGAAACATGGTTGGAACTGTGTAAGAAAAATAACCATATTTTAAATCAATTAATTTATAATATATATATATATATATATATATATATATATATAAAAATAAAATGTTTGTATTTATATGTAAATATTTTAAATTTGAAAGAAAACTGTTTCGATGATATCACAGTATAAATACAGATAGATATATAAATA